TTGCTTAGGATTAGTGTTGGCTATGCGGGCTCTTTTTTGGTTACATATGAAATTTAAGGTGGTTTTTAAAAATTCTATGAAGAAAGTCACTGGTAGCTCGATGGGGATAGCATTGAATTTATAAATTACTTTGGGCAGTATGGCCATTTCCATGATATTGCTTCTTCCTAAACATAAGCATGGAATGTTTTTACATCTGTTTGTGTCACCTGTTATTTCCTTGAGCAGTGGTTTATAGTTCTGCTTGAAGATGCCCCTCACATCCCTTATTAGTTGTATTCCTAGGTATTTTATTCTCTTTGTAAAAATTGTGAATGGGAGTTTGCTCATGATTTGGCTCTCTTTTGTACCTTATTGGTGTGTAGGAATGCTTGTGATTTTTGCACATTGATTTTGTATCCTGAGACTTTGCTGAAGTTGCTTATCAGCTTAAGGAGATTTGGGGCTGAGGCAATGGGGTCTTCTAAATATACAATCATGTTGTCTGCAAAGAGAGACAATTTGACTTCCTCTTTTCCTAACTGAATACCCTTTATTTCTTTTTCTTGCCTGATTGCCCTGGCCAGAACTTAGTAATACTATGTTGAATAAAAGTGGTGAGAGAGGGCATCCTTGTCTTGTGCTGGTTTTCAAAGGGAATGCTTCCAGTTTTTGCCTGTTCGGTATGATATTGACTGTGGGTTTGTCATAAATAGCTCTTATTATTTTGATACATGTTCCTTTGATACCTTGTTTATTGAGGGTTTGTAACATAAAGGACTGTTGAATTTTGTCAGAGGCCTTCTCTGCGTCTATTGAGATAATCAAGTGGTTTCTGTCTTTGGTTCTGGTTATGTGATGGATTACATTTACTGATTTGCATGTGTTGAACAGCCTTGCATCCCAGGGATGAGGCTGACTTGATCGTGATGCATAAGCTTTTTGATGTGGTGTTGGATTCAGTTTGCCAGTATTTTATTGAAGATTTTTGCATTGGTGTTCATCATGGACATCAGCCTGAAATTTTCTTTTTTAGTTGTGTCTCTGCCAGGTTTTGGTATCAGGATGATGTTGGTCTCATAAAACTAGTTAGGGAGGATTCCCTCTTTTTCTGTTGTTTGGAATAGTTTCAGAAGGAAAGCTCCTCTTTGTATCTCTGGTACAATTAGGCTGTGAACCTGTCTGGTCGTGGCCTTTTTTTGGTTGGTAGACTATTAATTGCTGCCTCTATTTCAGACCTTGTTATTGGTCTATTCAGGTATTCGACTTCTTCCTGGTTTAGTCTTAGGAGGGTGTAAGTGTCCAGGAATCTATCAATTTCTTCTAGATTTTCTGGTCTATTTGCATAGAGTTGTTTGTAGTAATCTCTGATAGTGGTTTGTATTTCTGTGGAATCAGTGGTTATGTCCCCTTTATCGTTTTTTATTGCATCTATTTGATTCTTCTCTCTTTTCTTCTTTATTAGTCTGGCTAGCAGTCTATCTATTTTGTTGATCTTTTCAAAAAAAACCAGCTCCTGGATTCGTTGATTTTT